TCATAAATTTCCCAAAAATAAGCAATCTAATCATATGATTTTATAATATTATATTTTGTACAAAAATTATTTGATCAATTTTCTCACATTTATGATATTGCAACAAATGTTTCATTTTTTTAATAATATCATCTTAGGTAAAATATCCATCGCAGTAATTTTTTTTCATGCCCTATTAACTTTTGCATATTATTATCACTACGTTAGATGTTATATAATGTATTATTAGATAATGCAATAATAAGCAATATATGACTTTTCAAAAATTCTACGAAAATAACTGAAGCAAATAAAAAATGACATTATTAAAAAATATCATTAATTTTACGCAAATCCAATGGTTAAAACAGCATATGACTAGGCAAATGATCTTGTTACCTATACATGGGTCCTAGTAGATACTTTATATAATACGATTGCTGTTACCAAAGAGTGACGTGCTTAGTTACTGTACTTTTAAAAAAATCAATGTTAAATTTTGATATATAAAAGAATTCCACATCAATATGCACCAAAAATTTATTATAACTTAGACTAAGTTTATACGTTTCTAATTAAACTTCTAAAAATAAAATTTATTATCATACAGATTAGCTTAGTCATAACAAGGAGTTTAAATAGCTCCATATTGCGACAACACCTTAATGTTAATAATGAATATTTATTGTTATAAATAATAAATAATGTATAAGAAATTTTTAAATTTCAAAATTACAAGTTATGATACTAGCCTATTTTATTTATCTTGTAATTATTGATTCACTATTAAGAATGCATTTTCCACATATAAATGCATAATTTTTAATATTCAAATCATGTAAATATAATGGGTTTATAAAACCTATAATGAAAATTTTTGTATGTATTTGGCGAAACCATGTTCACAAAAACAGGGCGGACATTCCCATATTATCACGATATTGCCGATAATATTATCACATAAAAAATACCGTTGAATTAATTGTTTCACAAATTCTACATAATAATGTATAAAATTTTGATTTTATTTATTTTATTTTATTTATTGTTAATAAATTAGTTCTTAAAATAATTCATAAAGATTTTGTCAAATATCAGACATATATTAATTTTACAATAATTGTAAACATTTATTTAATGATAACTTTCGGGTTATCAAAAATTATTCAGGTTTATTTTAACCACAAATTCTTGAATACCTAAATAGCATACTGTGAAAGTTTCAAGTTCGGCCCGAAGTTCTGTGGCTTGGCCCGAAGCTTCAAAGTCAAATTAGCAGATGATCAGCATATATGTGAATTATTGAAAATTTCAACCTAAGGCTAATATGTCCGCCCTGTTTGTTCACAAAACAATTAATGAATCCTCTTTGATTTGATTTGACATAATACTGTCAATGACGATGGCATTTTTTTTCTAAAAAAAAAAAAAAAAAAAAAAAAAAAAAAGAAATATACCGTTCCAATAANCCACTAAGGAAATCAGTTTTCGCAAATGTGGAAAACCCAGAATTTTTCTGAATAACTTTGTAGTAAAGGTCCGATTGCTAGTGATTTCTGGAGGAAATCTCAGGAAATTCTCAATTATTCAAATAGTTTGCTTATAAGTGAGTGATAAAACTTTGTGTAACATAAACACTTTTTTATAAGCAAACTACCTTTATAATTGAGAATTTCCCAAGATTTCCTCTGGAAATTGCTAATAATTGACTTTTTCCTACATAGTTATTCAGAAAAATTCTGGGGTTTTGCAAATTTTTGGAAATCGATTTCCTTAGGGGTGACATACAGGGGGTTCCACTAATTTGAAAATAGCGATAAATATATATGTTAACATTAATTTTTTGAAAAAAAATTGTCAAATATAATAATAATAAAAAATTATTATATTATATCATTTCAAATCATTAAAAAAATTCTATTCTATATGTACAGTACAGATGTACTATAATGGTAATAATAAACTGAATCTTGAACGCGATTACTAATTCTTTAAAAAAAAAAGAATTCATATCTTTTTTTTTGATTTAGTTAAATTATTTTTTTTATTGGCTTTATAATTTCAATTTTAATATTATTTAATTTTGTTAGTAAAATCTATGTGAAATAAAATTGTATTTTTTAGTGATGTAATTATTATATTAAAATGTAAATTATTGTTTGTTATATAGCTTAACAAGATTTCAGGAAAATCTGAAAATAATAAAAGTTTTTACTTAATATATTTTTAAAATTTTTATTGTATAAATGTTAATTTTTAAATGAACGATAAATATTCTTAAATAATGATTAAGTAAATTTGCTTTATAACAAGAATGTTTTCATCTGTTAAAATTTAGTGTCAAATTAAATTTAGAATTGGCAAAACTTGATATGCCTATGATTGGCGTAATTCATTAACTTTTTTTTTCGTGTAAGATTGTATCCGCATTTTATTACCTATTTTATTTTTTCTAAATTAAAGTTAAAATAATTATAAAACCATTACACGTTACAACTAAAGTGTATCGAAAGCACAAAGTTTATGATTATAAATATTAATATATTAATTTTTTAAAATTATATATTATTGTATAGGGGAGGAGCAATATCACTTATTTTAGTATAGGTCAATGTATGATTGGTTTTAATTTTGCCACGTCAGTGGCAAAATTAGTAACCAATCATACAT